CATAGGCAACACATAACATTCACATGGACAGTGTACATATACCAATCTACTGGTGCCATAGGCAACACATAACAGTCACATGGATAGGGTACATATACCAATCTACTGGTGCCATAGGCAACACATAACAGTCACATGGATAGGGTACATATACCAATCTACTGGTACCATAGGCAACACATAACATTCACATGGACAGGGTACATATACCAATCTACTGGTGCCATAGGAAACACATAACATTCACATGGACACGGTACAGATACCAATCTACTGGTGCCATAGGCAACAAATAACATTCACATGGACAGGGTACATACACCAATCTACTGGTGCCATAGGCAACACATAACAGTTACAGGGGCAGGGTATCTTTATGGTATCTTGTGTACTCACCTTCACAAGTCTTTCCATCATATGATATTTTATATCCTTCATTGCACTGACAAACCACTCTATTTGTACCACGAGCAACACAACGTTGTGAACATCCACCATTGTTTACACTGCATGGATTGGATACTAGAGTAAATAATAAAAATAACAAAATAATGTTTACATGTGGGCATTAGCTACTGGATAATATTTTGATACACTTTGTTTATATCTGAATACATCCAGAACCCGTGTGGGTAGCATTTAGCTTTAGATTGCTATACTTCCTGTGACAAATTAGTTACATCCGAGGTACATTACTTGGGGTTTGCAACTACGGTGACATGATACCAAGGTCCTGTTACAATTTCGTTCTCGCATAAGCATTCCAACTCAGAAAAATGCAAATGCGCATGCCCGAGGTAGCTAGGATACTGGGATGTCCAGGTGGATCAAAATAGCTGCTCACGATATGATGGATTACGATAACTATATTTTCTGTACATTTTCGATGTACTGTGGAATACTTTATTTTCGCTGGAATTAATTTTCACTGAAAAGGCTTTTTGGGCCTTTTGCTTGGAATTTATTTTCACTGATTTTTTATGAGTTTAATGTAAAATATAGGAAAAAAAGTATATTCGCTAGATTTTATTTTCACGGAATCATGCCTTCAGCGAAAATAGCAAAAATAAATTCCAAGCGAAAATAAAGTATTCTACAGTATTATATTTTTTCACTATGAATGTGGTAATACATGTTTTATTGTTTTATTACAAACCGCCCATGTCATGTCATGTCAGAAAGGTCGTAGCATCAATCTCGCTATCTACGAGATGAGACTTGAATGGGATCTTGACATGATGTCACCGTACAGTACTATGCGCGTTGCAA